CTGGTTTGTTACAGCGTGCCTTGGAACATTATACAGACATGTATGACATTAAGAGGGCTGTTGTTCACACACAGTTGTTGAACCCTGAGTGGCTTGTGAACTACTTTGGCTCCTTGTCTGTTGAGGATTCTTTAGAGTGTTTGAAAGCAATGCTTACTGCCAATCTCCGCCAGAATCTCCAAATTGTAGTTCAGGTAAGGACTTTTAAATTGTATTTCTTACGTATTTGGATATTTAATTTATTGTTAAAATCTTTGTACTGCTTTTATATAATACAAGTATCAGCCAGACATAGGATTGGAAATTTAATATTGTTTTGATTGTTTAAATTATATAAATATTGGTAATTACAGATTGCTACTAAATACCATGAGCAGCTGACAACCAATGCCCTTATTGACTTGTTTGAGTCTTTCAAGTCATTTGAAGGCCTTTTCTATTTCCTGGGATCAATTGTCAACTTCTCGCAAGAACCTGAAGTTCACTTCAAATACATTCAGGCAGCATGTAAAACTGGACAAATTAAGGAGGTGAGCCTATTGACAGTAAACAGCATGATTATAGCATTTGTCATGGAATTGAGTTGGGGAAAAATATCTGCATTTGCTAATGTGTGTATGCTTAGGGATATCATAGCCCATGCATTTTTTTTTTTAAACCTGTAAGTAATGCTAAAGGCATTTTAATCATGATTGACAAACAGTATGAACAGATCATACCACGGGCAGGATTTGAACCCGCGGTCAGAGTTTTTTTTGAGAGACTGACCGCGGGTTCAAATCCCGCCCATGGTATGGTTTGTTTGCAATCGTGTCGTTACGATTTCGTGAGTCAGTATGAACAGATTACTGGTTGATTAGTGTTAGGTGTAAATTAAGCACATATAATTGCTGCTCAAGATAAAACACTGGGCACTACATCTTCTAAATTCTGATGCATTTGAAACTCAGGAGTCTTAGTGCAAGGATCCAGGGGAGTTACTGAGTTAATATCTTGCTAATAATGACCCTGAAAACTTTATTACCATCATACAGCAAACTAGAAGTAGTTTTACGAATAATTTTATTTGAAAATATTTTCGGTTCCTTCAAGAAAATTAGAGGATTATAAAGGTTCAGTAATGCAGTAAAAATCTGCCCTAGGTCGAGAGAATATGCCGTGAATCCAACTGCTACAACCCTGAACGTGTGAAGAACTTCTTGAAGGAGGCAAAACTGACTGATCAGTTGCCACTTATCATAGTTTGTGATCGCTTTGACTTTGTCCACGACTTGGTGCTCTACCTCTACCGCAATAACCTGCAGAAATACATTGAGATATACGTTCAGAAGGTTGGTATAACATTTTCAGATTAGTGAGTCACTAAAATGAACAGTTTGTTCAAGTAAGTTATGGGGTAAGACAGTACAAGTGAATAAAAGCAACAGTCATTGATAGTGATATTTATAGTTTTAGTTTTGTACCGAAGTTATTTTTGTTGGAATTTTGTATTTCACAATTGTGGTTAGCATTTTCTGCAGTGTCTCATTAGCATTTAAAAAAACTATTTATAGGAAGGGAGGATTTTATTGAATATTTTGTCCAGCAGTATTTCTGTATAAAAATAATTTTGTTGAAAAATTAGGACAAGAGCCCTAAGCTAGATCCCATAACTCCAGACTCCCACCTATCCACGTGCAGTACTGTGTGTTTCTTATATTGTAAAATTAAACAATCCATAATGAAAATGGTATACAATACCGACAAGTTGAAGAGTAATGTTGCTGTGTCTGACAAGTATGATGAAAATAGTATAGGTCAAGATATTTCAGTAAAATCCAAAGCTGTATATTTGCATGGCCATTGAATGTTAAGACATCTAGACTGGATTGACTTGTAAATAATGTTAGTGCTGTTCCATGGGGAATTTGCCTTTGTATGGAGCATAATTCACAGGCAAAATACTTGCCTAAATATTCTGTTTGTCCAGGTCAATCCATCACGTCTACCTGTTGTTGTTGGTGGTCTGCTGGACGTTGATTGTGCCGAGGATGTAATAAAACAACTGATCATGGTTGTTCGAGGACAGTTCTCAACAGATGAATTAGTGGAAGAGGCAAGTTTATTTTTATTTTCACTATTGATCAAATATATAGTTGAAAAAATATATTGTTGAAAAAAAATTAATTTTTTTTTTTTTTTGTTTCACAAAGGTTGAGCATTTGCATGAACTTTCAGCTTAGGTACGATTATTTAATTTCATGTAACAGTAAATAAAATGATCATATTCACAATGCAGTATTTCCATATTACATATTCAGAAATTGGAAGTGTTTAATGTGGTATAAGTGTAGTGAATGCTGTATTAATTTTTTAATTTATTTTACTTTTGATATTTTCCTTGTATGCTGTTAATGTGATTGATTTTTAGTTTTGAAATACCTTCTTATCAACAAGCACTTTAAGCCAAATTGCAGTAAATCTTCTCACTGGTGCCTTATGAAAAATATCATTGTGAAGAAAGTATGGGAAAAAATTGGCCTGCTTTTCAGATTCATTTAGATTTGCTAGACTACATTTTTAATATTCTACTAGGTATTTGTTTTTTTACTCTGCATTCTAGTTGCAATTACTTGTTGGCATGGAATTTTGTAGAGAGGATAAATGTAGCCATACTGGACTGAGGTGGATGACTGTGGTTCTTGTGTTGTAAATGACAGTTGTCAGTAGTTGGTTGTACTGGAGTGCTCGGGTATTCTATAATGCATCTTTGGTCTGTTTTAAACTGAAGTATTTCATAGCACTGATTAGGCATCATCCATTTCCAGACTGCTTCAGAGCAATGCTTCTAGGAATGTCAGGGTTCTTTTCATTGAAAAAGTGCAGACTTGCTTATGCAACAGTTGCAGTATTAAATGTTTATATCCATGTTATTCTTTCTCATTATCTTTTTATCTTTTCTCTCTAAAATGGAGCCCAGTAATTTTTCTGCACTTGATTCTTCACCATCCTTTAACAGTTCATTTACGTCTTTCCCCCCCCCCTTCCCCCAACAAGTCGGCCGTCTCCCACCGAGGCAGGGTGACCCAAAAAAGAAAGAGAATCCCCAAAAAGAAAATACTTTCATCATCATTCAACACTTCACCACACTTACACATTATCACTGCTTTTGCAGAGGTGCTCAGAATACAACAGTTTAGAAGCATATACGTATAAAGATACACAACATACCCCTCCAAACTGCCAATATCCCAAACCCCTCCTTTAAAGTGCAGGCATTGTACTTCCCATTTCCAGGACTCAAGTCCGACTATATGAAAATAACCGGTTTCCCTGAATCCCTTCACTAAATATTACCCTGCTCACACTCCAACAGATCATCAGGTCCCAAGTATCATTCGTCTCCATTCACTCCTATCTAACACGCTCATGCACGCTTGCTGGAAGTCCAAGCCCCTCGCTCACAAAACCTCCTTTACCCCCTCTTTCCAACCCTTTCGAGGACGACCCCTCCCCCTCCTTCCTTTCTCTTTAGATTTATATGCTTTCCATGTCATTCTACTTTGATCCATTCTCTCTAAATGACCAAACCACCTCAACAACCCCTCTTCTGCCCTCTGACTAATACTTTTATTAACTCCACACCTTCTCCTAATTTCCACACTCCGAATTTTCTGCATAATATTTGCACCACACATTGCCCTTAGACAGGACATCTCCACTGCCTCCAACCATCTCCTCGCTGCTGCATTTACCACCCAAGCTTCACATCCATATAAGAGTGTTGGTACTACTATACCTTCATACATTCCCTGCTTTGCCTCCATAGATAACGTTTTTGACTCCACATATACCTCAACGCACCACTCACCTTTTTTCCCTCATCAATTCTATGATTAACCTCATCCTTCATAAATCCATCCGCCGACACGTCAACTCCCAAGTATCTGAAAACATTCACTTCTTCCATACTCCTCCTCCCCAATTTGATATCCAATTTTTCTTTATCTAAATCATTTGATACCCTCATCACCTTACTCTTTTCTATGTACACTTTCAACTTTCTACCTTTACACACATTCTCAAACTCATCTACTAACCTTTGCAATTTTTCTTTAGAATCTCCCATAAGCACAGTATCATCAGCAAAAAGTAACTGTGTCAATTCCCATTTTGAATTTGATTCCCCATAATTTAATCCCACCCCTCTCCCAAACACCCTAGCATTTACTTCTTTTACAACCCCATCTATAAATATATTAAACAACCATGGTGACATTACACATCCCTGTCTAAGACCTACTTTTACCGGGAAGTATTCTCCCTCTCTTCTACACACCCTAGCCTGAGCCTCACTATCCTCATAAAAGCTCTTTACAGCATTTAGTAACTTACCACCTATTCCATATACTTGCAACATCTGCCACATTGCTCCTCTATCCACTCTATCATATGCCTTTTCTAAATCCATAAATGCAATAAAAACTTCCCTACCTTTATCTAAATACTGTTCACATATATGCTTCAATGTAAACACTTGATCTACACATCCCCTACCCACTCTGAAGCCTCCCTGCTCATCTGCAATCCTACATTCTGTCTTACCTCTAATTCTTTCAATTATAACCCTACCGTATACTTATCCTGGTATACTCAGTAAACTTATTCCTCTATAATTTTTACAATCTCTTTTGTCCCCTTTCCTTTTATATAAAGGGACTATACATGCTCTCCGCCAATCCCTAGGTACCTTCCCCTCTTTCATACATTTATTAAACAAAAGTACCAACCACTCCAACACTATATCCCCCCCTTCTTTTAACATTTCTGTCATGATGCCATCAGTTCCAGCTACTTTACCCACTTTCATTCTACGTAATGCCTAACGTATCTCCACCACACTTACATTCTGCTCTTCTTCACTCCTAAAAGATGGTATACCTCCCTGGCCAGTGCATGAAATTACCGCCTCCCTTTCTTCCTCAACATTTAAAAGTTCCTCAAAATATTCTCGCCATCTACCTAATACCTCCCTCTCCCCATCTACTAACTCCCCTACTGTTTTTAACTGACAAATCCATAATTTCCCTAGGCTCTCTTAACTTGTTTAACTCCAAATTTTTTTCTTATTTTTATTAAAATTTCTTGACAGTGCCTCTCCCACTCTTTCATCTGTTCTCCTTTTGCACTCTATCACCACTCTTCACCTTTCTTTTACTCTCCATATACTCTGCTCTTCTTATAACACTTCTGCTTTGTAAAAACCTCTCGTAAGCTACCTTTTTCTCTTTTATCACACCCTTTACTTCATCATTCCACCAATCACTCCTCTTTCCTCCTGCCCCCACCCTCCTGTAACCACAAACTTCTGCTCCACATTCTAATACTGCATTTTTAAAACTATTCCAACCCTCTTCAACCCCCCCCCCCCCCCCACTACTCATCTTTGCACTAGCCCACCTTTCTGCCAATAGTCGCTTACATCTCGCCCGAACTTCCTCCTCCCTTAGTTTATACACTTTCACCTCCCTCTTACTTGTTGTTGCCACCTTCCTCTTTTCCCATCTACCTCTTACTCTAACTGTAGCTACAACTAAATTTTGATCCGATATATCAGTTGCCCCTCTATAAACATGTACATCCTGGAGCCTACCCATCAACCTTTTATCCACCAATACATAATCTAACTAACTACTTTCATTATGTGCTACATCATACCTTGTATATTTATTTATCCTCTTTTTCATAAAATATGTATTACTTATTACCAAATTTCTTTCTACACATCGCTCAATTAAAGGCTCCCCATTTACATTTACCCCTGGCACCCCAAATTTACCTACAACTCCCTCCATAACATTTTTACCCACTTTAGCATTGAAATCCCCAACCACCATTACTCTCACACTTGATTCAAAACTCCCCATGCATTCACTCAACATTTCCCAGAATCTCTCTATCTCCTCTACACTTCTCTCTTCTCCAGGTGCATACACGCTTACTATAACCCACTTTTCACATCCAATCTTTATTTTGCTCCACATAATCCTTGAATTTATACATTTGTAGTCCCTCTTTTCCTGCCATAGCTTATCCTTCAACATTATTGCTACTCCTTCTTTAGCTCTAACTCTATTTGAAACCCCTGACCTAATCCCATTTATTCCTCTCCATTGAAACTCTCCCACCCCCTTCAGCTTTGTTTCACTTAAAGCCAGGACATCCAGTTTCTTCTCATTCATAACATCCACAATCATCTCTTTCTTATCATTTGCGTCTTTATTTACATCATTAAAGCCCTCGCAGTTTCCTAGACCTGACTTCTTATTGAGGGAAACGGGGAAACTATTCACCACAGGATGTCATAACTCCTGCTTTTATTTATAATTGCTTAGGGCATCTTGTCCCATGCCACCTTTGTGCATAAATGCATCTGCAATGTTAAATTTGTCAGAATTCTTCCATGCTAGTCTCAGAGCTGACATCCATTGCTGCAGTGAGTCCTTATATTACCTTGTGTGTAGTTTCTTAACGTCTAGATCCAGTGGCTATATCAAAGATGTACTGGATGGTTAACCCTTTGAGGGTCAACAGGCCCTCTCCGAGACTCGTTCTCAGGGTCGGCCAAATTTAAAAAAAAAAAAAAAAAAATTTCTTATGAAAAGATAGAGTGTCTTTTCCCGATCATAATGACGCCAAAATTATGGGGATTTGATGGAAAACTTACGGAATTATGCTCTCGCGAAGTTAGCGGTCTCAGTGATGTTTACGCATCGGTGATTTTGCCCACTTTGAGCCCCATTTTCGGTCAATTCCACTGCACTAGTCGACAAAAATCATGAATATTTCGCTAGAACTCCATTCATTCTATCGAATGAGTGCAAGAAACCACCCATTTACTAATTTCATCTATCCAGTACAGTGGTCAGAATTTAGCAATTTTGCCAATTTCACACAAATTTCAAAAGATGTCAATTTCCGAATAGGGTCCAGAATAAACAAGAAAGATATTCCTGGCACTAAAATGACATTTCCTTTGTTCATTAGTCATGTCTCAAGGCCCCTCTTACATTCTTTTGCTTTCCACTTTGAATTTTTTTCTCAAAAAAATAGAAGATTTACTGTTATGCAGACTACTGCATTAGTGTAAAAAATGGTATAAATAATATTGGCACACTTGCAAAAGAATATTAGACTCAACAGTTGATGTGTATTGGACGCTTGGCATGATTTATTTACTTTTGAACTTTGGTAAAAATCGAACATTTCTGCTACTTTGAGCTCAATTTCATGGTACTTTTCATTTTAAAACCAGTCAAAATCATCTCAATTTCTGTAATATGTCTTCCATTCTATAAAGTGAGACCAAGAAAACTAGAATACAACAATAAATACCATACGAAAATACAGTGCAAAGTCGCTGTTTTATTCCAAAAAAACGGTCAGTTTTTTTTTTCTCATGCACTGTGTGCTGCAGGATTTTTTTTTATACTGTGCACACTGACCACATAGACCCATTTTTTCATATGTAGGCCTACCAGCTTTCTCCCACTAGATTTGAGGGCGCTAGAATTTAGGCGTACTAGTACGTCAAAAACCCTGGGTTGTAAGCCGTACTAGTACGGCCGAAACCCTCAAAGGGCTAAAAGCAACCTTAACATTTGGGACCACAGTTTGCAAGATTGGAGGATGACTATGGAAGTTATCAAGAATGAGGGACTTGTGTATTTGCCAAATCACTGAGTTGGTAGGGCTCAAACCCATGGCAGGTGAGTCTACTCTACACCCCTGCAAGCCAGTGTGTTAACCACTGGGCCATGCTGGCCTCTCAAGAATGACGAGTCTTGAATGCAAGGTTCTTCCTGGCCAGGTTCATCTTCGCTACAGGAATAAAATAGTGCTTGATTTGTTCAACAAACAAGGATTCAGTCATCAAAGCTACCTTGTAAAATCACCAAATAATAGGCAAACAGGTTTTATCTTTAATTTTTAAAGAAAAGGGATTCTCTTAATTGTGCTATTAATTTCTCTTGGACTGAAGGTGCAGGCAGTTGGTATCAAACTTCATCTTCTCGAAGCATGTCTAATGGTTTCCTTTTCCTTTGATATCATCAGTCACTTGTTTTTCTTGGCACCTCTGTCATCATTGGTATTCCTTGTGAGTGCCATGGTTAATATTCAGAGAAGAGATTGGGTAATGAAAATACCTAAAATCTTTTGATAGTTAATAATGTAAGTGATGCTCCCAGAAAGCAACAGTTGATGATGGATGTAGCTGGGGGAAGATTCTTAGTGAAGAGAACATTCCATTCTTAGTGAAGCCACATTATCTAAGGAAAGAGTCCTACCTAGGGTAACAAAAGATTTAAGGTATTCGTTCATATATTGTATGTAAGTAATCTTGTTGAGAACTCTTAATCTTCATGAACTTTACAGGTTGAGAAAAGAAACCGCCTGAAGCTTCTCTTAACATGGCTGGAATCACGAATCCACGAAGGAGTCTCTGAATCAGCCACTCATGATGCCATTGCCAAAATTTATATTGATTCCAATAACAATCCTGAAAGGTTCTTGAGAGAAAACCAGAACTATGACAGCAAAGTTGTTGGTAAGCTGATATTTTCCTGGGTGCTTTTTAATGTCATTTTAATGTTTGCCATTCATAATGGCCCAATAATTTAGCCTTGCTGAGTGACCCAGCATGGTATATAGTGTTAACACACTTGGCATACATTTCACTAATTTGTCTTAATTGTTATTCGTATGAAAATACTTTTATTTTCTTGTATGTTTGTAAAATCTAAGAAGAGTAATATAGTAGTACAGTATTGCAAATGCAGCATTACTGCTATGTTTTGATAATATAACAGGTAGCTGCTTGCCTGTGTATTTTCATTTTATTAGACAGGCGTACTTTGCCTTAGCAAGGTGTGGGGTTAACCTCTCCACGATGCGGTGTTTGGCTTACTGTTGAACTCTAGTAGTCTGAGACAGTTAATATTCTAGTACAGGAACCAGTTCAGGTGCACCTGATGTAGTTCTTGCTCCTGCCTTTTGGCTTGCTGAAGAGAGCCTCGGTGAGAGGCCAAAATGCACAATATAGATACCAAAAATGAATTGTGAAAAAAGTAATAATACAGTAGGTGGAGGAATGAAAGGTCTACTGTATTCTACTGTTGTAGTTACAGGAAATGTCTGACTTTTAGCTAAAATTTGTTTATTTAAGTATCTTGCCTGCTGTTACTTTGTATATACCAATTACTTGTTTAAAAAATTATGTTAATCATGTGAACTAAACTTTATTAACCCTTAAACGGTCCAAACGTATATATACGTTCACGCGCGTAGCGCCCCAAACGTATACAGTGGACCCCCGGTTAACGATTTTAATCCGTGCAAGAGGGCTCATCGTTATGCGAAATAATCGTTATGCGAATGAATTTTCCCCATAAGAAATAATGGAAATAAAATTAATCCGTGCAAGACGCCCAAAAGTATGAAAAAAATTTTTTTTTACCACATGAAATGTTAATTTTAATACACACAAACTGAAAAAGGCATGCACAATTACATGACACTTACTTTTATTGAAGATCTGGTGATGATTGATGGGATGGGAGGAGGGGAGAGCATTATCTTCTTACTGTTTAGAAGGGGAATCCCCTTCCATTAGGACTTGAGGTAGCAAGTCCTTTTCTGGGGTTACTTCCCTTCTTCTTTTAATGCCACTAGGACCAGCTTGAGAGTCACTGGACCTCTGTCGCACAACAAATCTGTCCATAGAGCTCTGTACCTCCCGTTCCTTCAAGACTTTCCTAAAATGGGCCATAACATTGTCATTGAAATAGTCACAAGCACGGCTTGCAACAGCTGTGTCAGGGTGATTTTCATCTATAAAGGTTTGCAGTTCAACCCACTCTGCACACATTTCCTTAATCTTTGAAGTAGGCACAATGGATTCCACAACTGGCATAGGCTTCTCAGGGTTAGCCCCAAACCCTTCAAAATCTTTCTTAATTTCCATACTAATTCCCACCCTTTTTACCACAGGGTTGGCACTAGAAGCTTTCTTGGGGCCCATGGTCACTTATTTTCCACAAACAGCACCGAAAACACTGTAATAATACGAAATATTCCGAGTGTATGCTTGGATGTTACCGCGGAGGCTGGCTGGTAAACAATGGGACGGCCGGCACATGTGAGGGCACATTGGACGCGTCTCGGACGAAAATCGGTATGCGGGTTTTTAATCGGTATGCGGGGCAAAAATTTTGCGATAAAAGTAATCGTTATGCGGAAAAATCGCTATGCGATGCCATCGTTATGCGGGGGTCCACTGTATATACGTTTTCTTTGTCATTCATTCAACGTTGCCACAATAAGCCTGAGTCACCTAGACATGAGAGAATGGGTGTGCGCACTCACTGTGTGCCATATTAAAATAATTGGGGATGCCTGGGTACCATATGCTCTTTTTTTCCTTTTAAAAAAAAATTTTTTTTTTCTCAAAAAATTTGGGGCGCTACGCGAGTGAACGTATATATACGTTTGGACCGTTTAAGGGTTAATAATTGCTGAAAATCCAAGTTTCAAATTGGTGATTATAAATGGAAATATCTGAACTTGTTTAACATATTTTTTTCTCCAGGAAAGTACTGTGAAAAGCGAGATCCTCACCTTGCTTGCATTGCATATGAACGTGGCCAGTGTGACCGAGAGCTGATCAATGTTTGCAATGAGAACTCCCTATTCAAGTCCGAGGCAAGATACCTTGTGAGGAGAAGAGACCCCGAATTGTGGGCTGAGGTTCTCCAGGAGTCAAATCAGTACAGGAGACAGCTTATTGACCAGGTATGTGTCTAGTAAAAGTGTGTGTATTACTATGTACACCTACCATCCGACTTACAACCGAGTTCGGTTCCGAGAAACCGGTCGTAAGTCGAAGTGGTCGTAAGTCGAACTTTACTACTGAATATCAACAAAACATTTTTGTAATGACTTTATTTTATTGTTTTATTTTGGTATTTCATGTTTTACTTTACTTTTTATGTTGTTAGTATTGTATTTTATACTGTAAGGTTTAGGATAAACACTGTACAACACAAATAATTGTTTATTTCCCAGAAATTTGGCATAAAAAACACGGTCGTAAGTCGAGTAGGTCATAAGTCGGATGGTAGGTGTATTTATTAATTAAAGGTGTTGCTAATAATAGGATACAGTATTTAGTACTGTATATTAACCAGGTGGAACAAGAGGCTGGTAACACCTGTATAAATTACTAAATGTGAAAAGAGGGAAAATTTCATGATTTCTTTCTTGGGTTACCCTGCCTTGGTGAGAGACGACCAGTAAGTTGGAAAAAATTAACCGGGTGGGTGGCTAGTAATACAAGTACATACAGTGGAACCTCGGCTTACGAGTGCCCCACCATACGAGTTTTTCAGGATACAAGCAGTTGCTTGGTCGATTTTTCTTTTCTGGATACGACCAAAAATTCAGGATGCAAGCTTCCCCATTAAACAATTTTTTTAGACCTCCAGATCTTACAAAGATAAAAGTGAATATATAATTTTAGTTCATTGTCATGATGTATTATGTTGCTTTTACTGCTTAAGACTACAGTGGACCCCCGGTTAACGAACTTTTTTCATTCCAGTAGTATGTTCAGGTGCCAGTACTGACCGAATTTTTTCCCATAAGGAATATTGTGAAGTAGATTAGTCCATTTCAGACCCCCAAACATACACGTACAAACGCACTTACATAAATACACTTACATAATTGGTCGCATTTGGAGGTGATCGTTAAGCGGGGGTCCACTGTATAACTGCAATTGTGGGTACTGGAGTTTGTCGATGATTATGAACAGAGTGGAGAGTTGTGCTGTGGCCCTACTGGGCTGAGGTGGATGGTAGAGGTTCTGGTACTGAAGTCGATGGTTGTACTGGAGTGTGCATAAATTCTGTAATGGATTTCTGTTCTATTTTACCTTGCAGTACATTGTACAACTGACGGTAAGGCATCAGCTGCTCTAGACACCGTTTCAGGGTCCTCTCAGTTAAAAAGTCTAAATTTAAGTTATTCCATAAGTTGGTAGAGTCAGTCAGTTGAATCAAGTCAGTAAGTCACCACTTGTCACATAATGACATATTTTATTCATTCTAGAGTATATATCAGGTTTTAGTGTTATTTATATTGTTTATTATGTCAGATGAGTTGATAAATAAGCATCATATTGAAGTATTTTTGTCCTGCCTCTCAGAGCAGGAATTCCGCTGGAATGGATTAATGACATTTCAGTTAATTTAAATGAGGAAAATTGACTCGGCATATGAGCAGACCGGGATACGAGCAGTCACGGAACGGATTAAACTCGTAAGCCGAGGTTCCACTGTGTATCATCTTTCGAGGGAGTCTGGTGAGGGGCTCTTCATCCAAAGAACTAAATTTATCCTTCCTTTTCTTAGATCATACGTGAGTGCTTTCCATTATCCAGGCTGTGACCCTTTCCCTACAGGTTGAGTACTTCTTATCAGTTAAAATAAAATAAGTATTGACCAGATATGTGGATATGTGATTTTTAAAAAATAATCATTGTAATCTTGTTTGACAAGGGCAGTAATTAATAAAGCAAGCTAAGCAAATAGTTCACATTCTGTCAGGTTCAGGGTCGTGTTTTTGTGCAGTTCAGGCATTCCTCTGGTGAATAATCAGTTGATATGTCCATGTCAAAAAAAAAAAAAAAGTTAAGAAAGCCTAGGGAAAGTATGGATTTGTCAGTTAAAAACAGTAGGGGAGTTAGTAGATGGGGAGAGGGAGGTATTAGGTAGATGGTGAGAATATTTTGAGGAACTTTTAAATGTTGAGGAAGAAAGGGAGGCAGTAATTTCATGCACTGGCCAGGAAGGTATACCATCTTTTAGGAGTGAAGAAGAGCATAATGTAAGTGTGGTGGAGGTACGTGAGACATTACGTAGAATGAGAGGGGGTAAAGCAGCTGGAACTGATGGAATCATGACAAAAATGTTAAAAGCAGGGGGAGATAGTGTTGGAGTGGTTGGTACTTTTGTTTAATAAATGTATGAAAGAGGGGAAGGTACCTAGGGATTGGCAGAGAGCATGTATAATCCCTTTATATAAAGGGAAAGGGGACAAAAGAGATTGTAAAAATTATAGAGGAATAAGTTTACTGAGTATACCAGGAAAAGTATACGGTAGGGTTATAATTGAAAGAATTAGAGGCAAGACAGAATGTAGGATTGCGGATGAGCAGGGAGGCTTCAGAGTGGGTAGGGGATGTGTAGATCAAGTGTTTACATTAAAGCATATTTGTGAACAGTATTTAGATAAAGGTAGGGAAGTTTTTATTGCATTTATGGATTTAGAAAAGGCATATGATAGAATGGATAGAGGAGCAATGTGGCAGATGTTGCAAGTATATGGAATAGGTGGTAAGTTACTAAATGCTGTTAAGAGTTTTTATGAGGATAGTGAGACTCGGGTTAGGGTGTGTAGAAGAGAGGGAGAATACTTCCCGGTAAAAGTAGGTCTTAGACAGGGATGTGTAATGTCACCGTGGTTGTTTAATATATTTATAGATGGGGTTGTAAAAGAAGTAAATGCTAGGGTGTTTGGGAGAGGGGTGGGATTAAATTATGGGGAATCAAATTCAAAATGGGAATCGTCAGTTACTTTTTGCTGATGATACTGTGCTTATGGGAGATTCTAAAGAAAAATTGCAAAGGTTAGTAGATGAGTTTGGGAATGTGTGTAAAGGTAGAAAGTTGAAAGTGAACATAGAAAAGAGTAAGGTGATGAGGGTATCAAATGATTTAGATAAAGAAAAATTGGATATCAAATTGGGGAGGAGTAGTATGGAAGAAGTGAATGTTTTCAGATACTTGGGAGTTGACGTGTCGGCGGATGGATTTATGAAGGATGAGGTTAATCCATAGAATTGATGAGGGAAAAAAGGTGAGTGGTGCGTTGAGGTATATGTGGAGTCAAAAAACGCTATCTGTGGAGGCAAAGAAGGGAATGTATGAAAGTATAGTGGTACCAACACTCTTATATGGATGTGAAGCTTGGTTGGTAAATGCAGCAGCGAGGAGACGGTTGAAGGCAGTGGAGATGTCCTGTCTAAGGGCAATGTGTGGTGTAAATATTATGCAGAAAATTCGGAGTGTGGAAATTAGGAGAAGGTGTGGAGTTAATAAAAGCATTAGTCAGAGGGCAGAAGAGGGGTTGTTGAGGTGGTTTGGTCATTTAGAGAGAATGGATGAAAGTAGAATGACATGGAAAGCATGTAAATCTATAGGGGAAGGAAGGAGGGGTAGGGGTCGTCCTCGAAAGGGTTGGAGAGAGAGGGTAAAGGAGGTTTTGTGGGCGAGGGGCTTGGACTTCCAGCAAGCGTGCATGAGCGTGTTAGATAGGAGTGAATGGAGATGAATGATACTTGGGACCTGACGATCTGTTGGAGTGTGAGCAGGGTAATATTTAGTGAAGGGATTCAGGGAAACCGGTTATTTTCATATAGTCGGACTTGAGTCCTGGAAATGGGAAGTACAATGCCCGCACTTTAAAGGAGGGGTTTGGGATATTGGCAGTTTGGAGGGATATGTTGTGTATCTTTATACGTATATGCTTCTAAACTGTTGTATTCTGAGCACCTCTGCAAAAACAGTGATAATGTGTGAGTGTGGTGAAAGTGTTGAATGATGATGAAAGCATTTTCTTTTTGGGGATTTTCTTTCTTTTTTGGGTCACCCTGCCTCGGTGGGAGACGGCCGACTTGTTGAAAAAAAAAAAAAAAGTTGAAAGTATTCAAGGTGGTTAGAAAAGGCTTTTGAATTTTATGATAAGACTCTTGAATTTCAATTTGTTTTATTCCAAAGTATGGTTCTTTGTCTCCATTTTCTGTAGTCACATTTCTTGAGAAAAGGTTCTTCATCTGCAGTTGAAGTATGATTTGCATTTCCATTGGAACATTCTTGATTTACAAGACTTGTATGTCCTTTTGTTCAGTGGATTTCAGCTAAATTATCTATACATTAATTTTGTGTGCCCTTGAAAAAGTTCATTAAAGACTAATGTTTGACGATAGCCCTGTATCTTAGTTTAATATTTTTATTTCAGGTCGTGCAAACTGCATTGTCGGAGACCCAAGATCCGGAGGATATATCTGTTACCGTGAAAGCTTTCATGACTGCTGACTTGCCCAATGAACTCATCGAACTCCTGGAAAAAATTGTGCTTGACAATTCAGCATTCAGTGATCACAGGTAAAATGACATATATAAAATTAACTTTATTTTTATTATTAATAAAAAATTTATTTATGGAATTGTCTAGTTTTTATTGAATTTGCATAGCATTTATGATACCTTATGCTTACAGGAACCTTCAGAACCTGCTGATTTTAACTGCCATAAAGGCTGATCACACTCGTGTTATGGACTACATCACTCGTCTTGATAACTATGATGCACCTGACATTGCCAATATTGCCATTGGCAACCAGCTTTATGAAGAAGCCTTTGCTATATTCAAGAAGTTTGATGTGAATACTTCTGCTATTCAGGTAGGTTGTTCACTTATTTTGTAGTTGGTTCCTCTTTATTTTATATGCTAATTGGGCATCCCGAGCAGAGATGGCTTTTCTCTGAAGCCATACCATTTCCTCACATTATTTGAGACTGCTTCACATTGACTTGGAATTTTTCAGTAATTGTCTATTTGTTTACCAGTTAACCCATTTGCTGGATGGCCTACCTAAAGTGCAAGCCAAAAATGTTTTACCAGAGCTAGTTTTCATTTACTTAGGCTTCTGTTACTTTTGGTAGGGTGACTTGAAAATGGTTGAGGTATTTTTGTAAATGATCCCCATTAGATTTAATCTTGACAGAAGCACTTGCTGGTAATTACTTTCATACCAAAGTTTCATATTATAGATTATCTTAGTTTTGTTAAATCTTTAATACAGTATATCAAACATTACAACTTAAAGTTCCTATTACATTTGAAAGAATTTACTACAGTATTTGTCATTTCCTCTCTTAAGAGCCTAAATTTTCAAACAAGAGAAAGGCCTTTGTGAATAACAATAAAAAAAGGCACAATACCGTGACTAGAAACTGTTGTGGTTTTTAAGAAGCCAGAAAATGTCATTGACATGCCTGTTAAGGATCTTCAAATACCATGCATACAGATACCATAATAGTATTGTCAATAATGATGGCTCAGGTCAACAACTAACACGGTTTGCTTTAGGATCTCGTATAGCGTACTGAAGCAAGGTTCATAAACTTGTGATGGCTTAAACACCGAGATCAATTCTGCACGTTTCAATTGATGGTTAGACCGACTACTACTACTACTACTACACGAGTTGCTTGCAAAATTCTGAAATTAAAATCTCTACGTTTTTAAAAATATTTAGTTACTGCACAAGGTATCGGTTTAAATATAATTTTTATGGATATTCTATACTGATATTATCAATCATATGACAGTGCTGACAAAGAAGCTACACCTTTATGTAATTACAAAGGTTTGCAATTACTTTTGTATCCTTCTATTGTTAAAGCCATTTTAAAATACAATGAAAATCAGTGGTGCAGCTATCCTTTCAATCTGGAAAGAAATGGCCTAAGCCTGGATTTCCGTCTGGGAATGGTTAAAAATCACTAGTTGCTGAAAAAATCTAAGATTTTAAAAATGTTTTTCAGTTTGGGAAGTTTCTTACACTGGGGTTGTGTTACTAATAGATTGATAACAGGCAAGATATTATGACAGTCTTTTATGACTTTCCCTATTTCCCTGCAAATTTAGTTAAGTAATTATGAAGGGACAATTGCTTTGTAATGTTTGAATCCAAGAAAAGTGTTCATGTTTACTATTGTGTATATTTGACCCTACATTTAAATGGTCTCTTCCACAGGTTTTGATTGAGCATATTGTCAACCTGGACCGGGCCTACGAGTTTGCTGAACGGTGTAATGAGAGTGCAGTATGGAGCCAGTTAGCTAAAGCTCAGCTTCAGCAGTCATTGGTGAAAGAAGCTATTGACTCTTTCATTAAGGCAGATGACCCAACTGCTTACATTGATGTTGTTGACACTGCACACAGGACAGGTTAGTGCTTTACAGGAGCAGTGCATGTGTTTCAATATAGTTTTGATTTTATTTGAAATTCCTTGGAGATGATATTGGTGTTTATTATATATACTTAAACTTGTGTTTTTTTTTTTCTTTTTAAATTTAGGTCACTGGGAAGACTTGGTTCGCTACCTGGTTATGGCACGTAAAAAGGCTCGGGAATCATATGTTGAGAGCGAATTATGTTATGCATATTCCAAAACCAACAGGCTAGCAGATCTGGAGGAATTTATTGCTGCTCCTAATCATGCTGATATACAGAAGGTAAGTCTCTAAAGAAGTGTCTTCCGAACTGGGATACCATCACACTTCTGGTGTATAATTATTGTATGAATGATGCTGAATGTATTTTCTCATTTTTGGGTCTCTGTACTTCAACAGGGGATAGCTAGTGTGATTAAAAAAAAAAGGTATTAAAACAGATTAAGGTAAGGTCCTTCCTATGATGTAATTTTTAAAGTGAATGCTAGGAATTTATTAAACGACTGTTATACTGAATTTAGTCAGTATAACTAAGATTTATTTTGATGTTTGGGATATTGTGAACTATAGTAAATTAAAACTGCAAATTAGAAATTTACCTCTGGTTATTAATTTGACAATTTTTTTTTTTTTTTTTTTTTTTTTTTATATATATAACGGCCGCCTCCCACCGAGGCAGGGTGACCCAAAAAGAAAGAAAATCCCTAAAAAGAAAATACTTACATCATCATTCAATATTAGATATTTAAGAAGCTTGTAGGTAGTAGGTTGGTAGACAGCAACTACCCAGGGAGGTACTACCGTCCTGTGGTAGTAGGTTGGTAGACAGCAACTACCCAGGGAGGTACTACCATCCTGTGGTAGTAGGTTGGTAGACAGCAACTACCCAGGGAGGTACTACCATCCTGTGGTAGTAGGTTGGTAGACAGCAACTACCCAGGGAGGTACTACCGTCCTGTGGTAGTAGGTTGGTAGACAGCAACTACCCAGGGAGGTACTACCGTCCTGTGGTAGTAGGTTGGTAGACAGCAACTACCCAGGGAGGTACTACCGTCCTGTGGTAGTAGGTTGGTAGACAGCAACTACCCAGGGAGGTACTACCATCCTGTGGTAGTAGGTTGGTAGACAGCAACTACCCAGGGAGGTACTACCATCCTGTGGTAGTAGGTTGGTAGACAGCAACTACCCAGGGAGGTACTACCATCCTGTGGTAGTAGGAAGGTAGACAGCAACCACCCAGGGAGGTACTACCGTCCTGTGGTAGTAGGTTGGTAGACAGCAACCACCCAGGGAGGTACTACCATCCTGTGGTAGTAGGTTGGTAGACAGCAACCACCCAGGGAGGTACTACCGTCCTGTGGTAGTAGGTTGGTAGACAGCAACCACCCAGGGAGGTACTACCATCCTGTGGTAGTAGGTTGGTAGACAGCAACCACCCAGGGAGGTGCTACCATCCTGTGGTAGTAGGTTGGTAGACAGCAACCACCCAGGGAGGTGCTACCATCCTGTGGTAGTAGGTTGGTAGACAGCAACCACCCAGGGAGGTACTACCATCCTGTGGTAGTAGGTTGGTAGACAGCAACCACCCAGGGAGGTACTACCGTCCTGTGGTAGTAGGTTGGTAGACAGCAACCACCCAGGGAGGTACTACCGTCCTGTGGTAGTAGGTTGGTAGACAGCAACCACCCAGGGAGGTACTACCATCCTGTGGTAGTAGGTTGGTAGACAGCAACCACCCAGGGAGGTACTACCGTCCTGTGGTAGTAGGTTGGTAGACAGCAACCACCCAGGGAGGTACTACCATCCTGTGGTAGTAGGTTGGTAGACAGCAACCACCCAGGGAGGTACTACCGTCCTGTGGTAGTAGGTTGGTAGACAGCAACCACCCAGGGAGGTACTACCATCCTGTGGTAGTAGGTTGGTAGACAGCAACCACCCAGGGAGGTACGACCGTCCTGCCAAGTGAGTGTAAAACGAAAGCCTGTAATTGTTTTACATGATGGTAGGATTGCTGGTGACCTTTTTTTCTGTCTCATAAACATGCTTCTAAGCATGTTTATGAGTGAGGTGAAAGTGTTAAATGATGATGAAGGTATTTTCTTTTTGGGGATTTTCTTTCTTTTTTGGGTCACCCTGCCTCAGTGGGAGATGGCCGACTTGTTAAAAAAAAAAAAAAAAAAATTGCAAGATTTCAGGTACGTCTTGCTACTTCTACTTACACTTAGGTCACACTACACATACATATACAAGCATATATATATATACACTCCCTTCTGGGTTTTCTGCTATTTTCCTAATAGTTCTTGTTCTTGTTTATTTCCTCTTACCTCCATGGGGAAGTGGAACAGAATTCTTCCTCCATAAGCCATGTGTGTTGTAAGAGGCGACTTAAATGCCGGGAGCAAGGGGCTAGTAACCCCTTCTCTTGTATATATTACTAAATTTAAAAGGAGAAACTTTCGTTCTTCCTTTTGGGTCACCCCGCCTCTGTGGGATATAGTTTTTATTTTTTTTTTTTTTTTTTTATTATCACACCGGCCGATTCCCACCAAGGCAGGGTGGCCCGAAAAAGAAAAACTTTCACCATCATTCACTCCATCACTGTCTTGCCAGAAGGGTGCTTTACACTACAGTTTTTAAACTGCAACATTAACACCCCTCCTTCAGAGTGCAGGCACTGTACTTCCCATCTCCAGGACTCAAGTCCGGCCTGCCGGTTTCCCTGAATCCCTTCATAAATGTTACTTTGCTCACACCCCAAAACAGCACGTCAAGTATTAAAAAACCATTTGTTCCATTCACTCCTATCAAACACGCTCACGCATGCCTGCTGGAAGTCCAAGCCCTCGCACACAAAACCTCCTTTACCCCCTCCCTCCAACCCTTCCTAGGCCGCCCCCTACCCCGCCTTCCTTCCCCTACAGACTGATACACTCTTGAAGTCATTCTGGGTTTTGCTCCATTCTCTCTACATGTCCCAACCACCTCAAAAAACCCTTCCTCAAACCCTCTGGACACAGTTTTGGTAATCCCGCACCTCCTCCCAACTTCCAAACTACGAATTTCTGCATTATATTCACACACACATTGCCCTCAGACATGACATCTCCACTGCCTCCAGCCTTCTCCCCGCTGCAACATTCATCACCCACGCTTCACACCATATAAGAGCGTTGGTAAAACTATACTCTATACATTCCCCTCTTTGCCTCCAAGGACAAAAAATTTTTTGTCTCCACAGATCCTAAGTGCACCACTCACTCTTTTTCCCTCATCATTCTATGATTCACCTCATCTTTCATAGACCCATCCGCTGACACGTTTCCCCTCCCAAATATCTGATTACGTTCACCTCCCATACTCTCTCCCTCCAATTGATATTCAATCTTTCATCACCTAATTTTTTTTGTTATCTCATAACCTTACTCTTTCCTGTATTCCTTTTAATTTTCTTCTTTTGCACACCTACCAAATTATCCACCCAAACTCTGCAACTTCTCTTCAGAATCTCCCAAGAGCACAGTGTCATCGGCAAAGAGCAGCTGTGACAACTCCCACTTTGTGTGTGATTCTTTATCTTTTAACTCCACGCCTCTTGCCAAGCCCTCGCATTTACTTCTCTTACAACCCCATCTATAATATATATTAAACAACCCCGGTGACATCCACACTCCTTGTCTAAGGCCTACTTTTACTGGGAAAAAATTTCCCTCTTTCCCTACATACTCAAACTTGACCCTCACTATCCTCGTAAAAAACTCTTCACTGCTTTCAGAAACCTCCCTCCTACACCATACACTTGCAACATCTGCCACATTGCCCCCTATCCACCCTGTCATACGCCTTTTCCAAATCCATAAATGCCACAAAGACCTCTTTAGCCTTATCAAAATTTACTTTTTCACTTATATGTTTCACTGTAAACACTGGTCCACACACCCCCTACTTTCCAAAAAGCCCCCTTTGGGTTCATCTGCTATCCTATTCTCCGTCTTACTCTTAATTCTTTCAATTAAAACTCTACCATACACTTTACCAGGTACACTCAACAGACTTATCCCCCTATAATTTTTGCACTCTCTTTTTTTCCCCTTTGCCTTTTACAAAGGAACTATGCATGCTCTCTGCCAATCCTAGGTACCTTACCCTTTCCATACATTTATTAAATAATTGCACCACCAAATCCAAAACTATATCCCCACCCGCTTTTAACATTTCTATCTTTATCCCATCAAAACCCGGTGCCTTACCCCCTTTCATTTTACCTACTGCCTCACGAACTTCCCCCACACTCACAACTGGCTCTTCCTCACTCCTACAAGATGTTATTCCCCTTGCCCTATACAGAAAAACACAGCCTTCCCTACTTCATTTAAAAATTTTTAAAAATTCCCCAAAATATTCCCTTCCCCCTCTTCCCAATACCTTACCCCTCCCTTTTTAAAAACTTCCCCTCCTATTTTTAACTGACAAATCCCTTTGTTCTTAGGCCCTTTTTAACTTGTTTAAATTTACTCCAAAAATTTTTTTTTTTCAACAAAATTTGGTTTATAACATCTCACCCACTCTCTATTTGCTTCTTTTTACATTTCCCTTTACCCCCTTTAACCCTTTTCTTTTTTCTCCATTTACTCTTCCCTCCTTGCCCTCACTTCTTTTTTGTAAAAAACTTTCAAAGCTAATTTTTTCCCTTACTAAATCTCTTTACTTTACATTCCCCAATCGCTCCCCTTCCCCCTGCACCCACTTTCCCGTAACCACAAAAATTCTGCTGAACACCCTAAACACTAATTTTTAAACCTTAAACCCCCCCCCTTCCCCCCCAAACCCCCTTTTCCCATGCTCTCATTTGCCCATTATTCCAATAGTGTTTATATCTTACCCTTTTAAATGCCTCCTTTTTTTTGTTTATAAAAACCCTTCCCCCTCCTTTCCCTGATGCTTCTTTTTCCCTTGTATCCCCTCTACCTTTTTCTCTCCCGTGTAGGCTACAACTTGGGAAAAGGGGTCTGATATATCTGTGGCCCCCCTATAAACATTTTTTCTCCCGAAGTTTATAACAGGGTTTTTTTTTTTCCTACATAACCAACAAAACTGTAATTTTTGCCCACATCAAATCGTGTTTTACTTATTTTTTCCTCTTTTTCTTAAAAAATGTATTACCTATAAATAAAACCCCCTTTTTATAAAAAGTTCAATCCCAAAGGGGTCCCTTTTTCATTTTCCCTGGCACCCCCAAAATTACCTTTCCACACCCCCTCTAAAAATTTCCCTTCTTTTGCATTCAAGTCCCCTACCACAATTACTCTTAAATTTGGGTTTAAAGGGGTCCCTTTCCATTCACTTTAACATTTTCCCAAAAATTCTCCCTCTCCTCTGCATTCCTTCTTTTTCCAGGTTTCCAAAACCGCTTATTATGACCCCCTTTCGCTCCAACCCTTTTCTTTAAACCACATAAATTTTGGAAATTTTCACATTCATTTTCTTTTTTTTCCCCCTTCCCAAATGATCATTTAACAATTTAAATGTACCCCTTCCCTTTTCTCTTAAACCCCTCCTTTTAGATACTCCAATTTTTAAACCCCTTTAAATTTCCCCCCCCCTGAAAAATCTCCTTTCCCCCCTTTAGCTTTGTTTCGCTTGGGGCCCGGAAAATCCCAACCCTTTTTTTAAATTTTAACATCAGCAATATTTTGTTTCTTGTCATCCGCCAAATACTTTCCCCGCCCCAAATTTTAAAAACCAGTTTTATAAATTTTTTTTCTTCTTTTTTTAGTAATTTTTATTTCAGGGAAGGGGGGTTTTTGCCCATTGCTCCCGGCTTTTTTGTCGCCTCATTCGACACGCCTGGCTTACGGAGGAAAGATTTTTTTCCACTTCCCCATGGACAATAGAAGAAATAAAAAAGAACAAGAGCTATTTAGAAAAAGGAGAAAAACCTAGATGTATGTATATATATATATGCATGTGCGTGTCTGTGAAGTGTGACCAAAGTGTAAGTAGGAGTAGCAAGATATCCCTGTTATCTTAGCGTGTTTATGAGACAGAAAAAGAAACCAGCAATCCTACCATCATGCAAAACAGTTACAGGTTTTTGTTTCACAGTCATCTGGCAGGACGGTAGTACTTCCCTGGGTGGTTGCTGTCTATATGCTGTAATATACTTGTGACTGTTTTGGAGTTCTGGCCCTTGGGACTGGAGCCAAACTTTTCTGCTTGACTGTTCAACCAGGCTGTTGCTGTTAGTGGCTTGTTGGCCTGCATAAATAACCATCACAGCCTGGTTGATCTGGCCCAGTTTTGTTATTGGACGTCTTATGTATTACAGAAGGTAGCAGGTGAGAAATGAATATAAAAGTATTTGGAGAGTTCCAAAAAATGTTTAAGGTGTGCCTAAAATTTTCTGATGCAAGTAGGATTTTTTTTCAATGATTGAAGAATAACGGGTAAAGAAAATAATTTTTATACCCGTGTCACTATATTTTGTTTTCCTTTATAGCTTTCTGGGGTTGCAACATCAAGAAATGTTCAGTGATCAAAGATAACCATATAGCCAAATTTTTTACCCACTATTAATAGTAATACTAGCAAATGGTTTTTTACTAGCTAAACTATTTTGGGCACAGAATGGTATAAATAGAAAATTTTTTTCTTCCCAGCAACGTGTTTGTTATTGCTTTCGTAATAGTTTGTATTTCGTATAGATGGGATAATGAGAGCATAGGCAATGGGGTCGAAGAGGTATGGGGTAGGTTTAAAAATGTAGTGTTAGAGTGTTCAGCAGAAGTTTGTGGTTACAGGAAAGTGGGTGCAGGAGGGAAGAGGAGCGATTGGTGGAATGATGATGTAAAGAGAGTAGTAAGGGAGAAAAAGTTAGCATATGAGAAGTTTTTACAAAGTAGAAGTGATGCAAGGAGGGAAGAGTATATGGAGAAAAAGAGGGGGTTAAGAGAGTGGTGAAGCAATGTAAAAAGAGAGCAAATGAGAGAGTGGGTGAGATGTTATCAACAAATTTTGTTGAAAATAAGAAAAAGTTTTGGAGTGAGATTAACAAGTTAAGAAAAGCCTAGAGAACAAATGGATTTGTCAGTTAAAAATAGGAGAGGAGAGTTATTAAATGGAGAGTTAGAGGTATTGGGAAGATGGAGGGAATATTTTGAGGAATTGTTAAATGTTGATGAAGATAGGGAAGCTGTGATTTCGTGTATAGGGCAAGGAGGAATAACATCTTGTAGGAGTGAGGAAGAGCCAGTTGTGAGTGTGGGGGGAAATTCGTGAGGCAGTAGGTAAAATGAAAGGGGGTAAGGCAGCCGGGATTGATGGGATAAAGATAGAAATGTTAAAAGCAGGGGGGGGAATAGTTTGTGGAGTGGTTGGTGCAATTATTTAATAAATGTATGGAAGAGGGTAAGGTACCTAGGGATTTGGGAGAGAGCATGCATAGTTCCTTTTATAAAGGCAAAGGGGATAAAAGAGAGTGGGAAAAATTAGGGGGATAAGTCTGTTGAGTGTACCTGGTAAAGTGTATGGTAGTTATAATTGAAAGAATTAAGAGTAAGACGGAAATAGGATAGCAGATGAACAAGGAGGCTTTTGGAAAGGTAGGGGGTGTGTGGACCGGTGTTTACAGTGAAACATATAAGTGAACAGTATTTAGATAAGGCTAAAGAGGTCTTTGTGGCATTTATGGATTTGGAAAAGGCGTATGACAGGGTGGATAGGGGGGCAATGTGGCAGATGTTGCAAGTGTATGGTGTAGGAGGAGGTTACTGAAAGCAGTGAAGAGTTTTTACGAGGATAGTGAGGCTAAAGTTAGAGTATGTAGGAAAGAGGGAAATTTTTTCCCAGTAAAAGTAGGCCTTAGACAAGGATGTGTGATGTCACCGTGGTTGTTTAATATATTTATAGATGGGGTTGTAAGAGAAGTAAATGCGAGGGTCTTGGCAAGAGGCGTGGAGTTAAAAAGATAAAGAATCACACACAAAGTGGGAGTTGTCACAGCTGCTCTTTGCTGATGACACTGTGCTCTTGGGAGATTCTGAAGAGAACTGCAGAGATTGGTGGATGAATTGGTAGGGTGTACAAAAGAAAAAAATTTAAAGGTGAATACAGGAAAGAGTAAGGTTATGAGGATAACAAAAAGATTAGGTGATGAAAGATTGAATATCAGATTGGAGGGAGAGAGTATGGAGGAGGTGAATGTATCAGATATTTGGGAGTGGACTGTCAGCGGATTTGGGGCTATGAAAGATGAGGTGAATCATAGAATTGATGAGGGAAAAAAGAGTGAGTGGTGCACTTAGGAGTCTGTGGAGACAAAGAACTTGTCCTTGGAGGCAAAGAGGGGAATGTATGAGAGTATAGTTTTACCCAAAGCTCTTATATGGGGGGTGAAGCGTGGGTGATGAATGTTGCAGCGAGGGGGAAGGCTGGAGGGAGTGGGGATGTCATGTTGAGGGCAATGTGTGGTGTGAATATAAAGCAGAGAATTCGTAGTTTTGGGAAATTAGGAGGAGGTGCGGGATTACCAAAACTGTTGTCCAGAGGGCTGAGGAAGGGTTGTTGAGGTGGTTCGGACATGTAGAGAGAATGGAGCGAAACAGAATGACTTCAAGAGTGTATCAGTCTGTTTGTGGAAGGAAGGCGGGGTAGGGGTCGGCCTAGGAAGGGTTGGAGGGGGGGGTAAAGGAGGTTTTGTGTGCGAGGCTTGGACTTCCAGCAGGCATGCGTGAGCGGTTTGATAGGAGTGAATGGAGACAAATGGTTTTTAATACTTGACGTGCTGTTGGAGTGTGAGCAAAGTAACATTTATGAAGGGATTCAGGGAAACCGGCAGGCCGGACTTGAGTCCTGGAGATGGGAAGTACAGTGCCTGCACTCTGAAGGAGGGGTGTTAATGTTGCAGTTTAAAAACTGTAGTGTAAAGCACCCTTCTGGCAAGACAGTGATGGAGTGAATGATGGTGAAATTTTTTCTTTTTCGGGCCACCCTGCCTTGGTGGGAATCGGCCAGTGTGATAATAAAAAAAAAATAATAAAAAATAATAATAGTGTTGTATCATGCTTTTTACATTTTCAGATTGGTGACCGGTGTTTTGATGATGGCATGTATGAAGCTGCAAAGCTCCTTTACAAAAGTTGAACT